TTTGGGTAAAGGGGAGGGTAATGTACCAAAAGTGAATGATCAACACAGTGGCATTGAGGAAGAGGAAGACAGAGAGAGGTACAGGGAGGTACAATTTTACTACTACTACTACTACTAAAATATTGTCGTGCCTGCCCTTTTCAGTGCATCCTGTCAGGAGGCACACGAGCTTGCCTTTTCCCGGTTGTGATGGTGTTGATCACCTGGTTAAGGTGGTGTCTCCCAGGTTTCTTCATGGTAAAGCTTCTATTTTTATCTGTTATAACTCTTAAGTTTATCTTGTGGAGAAATACTTTTTGAGAGAGGATGTAAATATCTTGCTTCCCATCATACCTTCTCCCACTAATTTGAGCATCCATTGATCATTCTCGCCTCAAACAATTGTTACTTTGAAGGCTACCAAAGGGTGATTTTCTATTTTCATGTTTTGTAGTTGGAATTCTAGTGTAAAGAAGAGCTCTTTTTTAAAATTTATTTATTTATGTTCTATGAGTTATACCAAAAAACTGAAAACCAAACTCATTGCCCGCTAGTCAGATCTGACTCATAGCGACCCCTCCTTGGGTTTCCAAAGTGGTATCTCTATGGAAGTAGATTGCCCAAACTTCCTTCCAAGGAGTGGCTGGTAGGTTTGAACTGCCAGCCTTCTGGTTAGCAGTCAAATGCCTTAGGCAATAATTATCATTATTGTTTTGTTCCTATTACCCAACATTTGGCCATTGGGAATTGGGGCCCTTTTGACATATACCTAATATTTTTTTTAGTGCTTCTTGCAAAAAACACGTAAACTGAATTTAATACGAGGAAACATCAGGCAAACCCAAACTGAGAGACAAAAAAAAATCCCACTGCCATTGAGTTGATATGGACTCATAGCAACCATACAGGACAGAGTAGAACTGCCCAGTAAGGTTTCCAAGGTTACGAAAGTTGACTGCCTCATTCTTCACCTGTGGAGTGGCTGGTGGGTTCCAATTGCTGATCTTTTGGTTAGCAGCCAAATACCTTAGCCACTGCACCACCAGAACTCATAACTGAGGAACATTCTGTAACATAACTCCCTGAAATCTTCAAACGTGTCAAGGTCATGAAAGACAAAGGAAGACAGAGGATTAAAAGACTAAGACAATATAGCAGTGAAATATAATGTGATCTTGGATAGGATCTGGGAGCAGAGCAAGGACATCCGTGGGACAATCAGCAAAACGTGAATAAGGCACGTATATTAGATGGTTGTATTGTATCAATGCTAATTTCCTAATTTTGATAATTGTACTGTGGTTATGTAAGATGTTAATTTTGGAGCATCCGGGTGAAGGGTAATGAACGTTCTTTGTACTATTTTTGTACCTTTTTATAAGTGTGAAATTATTTTAAAAAATTAAAAGTTTTTTTTTTTTTTTTTTAAATGACTTTTACAGGGAAAGGAGGATATGCTGGAGAAGAATGTGCAAAACAAAAGAAAGTGGTTCCAGATAATACTGAACAAGAAGTTCTTGCAAAGTTCCCGATCTGGACACTCCCTACAACGTGTCCTCCTGAGTGGCTTGGGACGTGGCTTGGATTTGTCTCTCCCCGAAGATGTTCTTTCATTTCTCAACTGTCTCTAACTTGAAAAACACCAGCAGAACACACCACTGCTAGGGGCGTCAGGCTCCTGCTGATATGTTCACTGGGAAAATCAATTACAGCCTAATTACCTCAGGGGGTTAATTAGCCTCAGTGTAGCTTGGGTGTCCTCTGTGAACAGAGCAGCCTGTCAGTCCCTGGTCAGTGAGCAGAGCCAAGGCAGAGCTTCCCTAGTGAGAAGCCTGCCTTCTGTCTGGGAAGGAGCCCCAGCCTGTTGAAGCAAAGCATCAGAGATGCAGCAGCTGGGGTTAGTGGAGGTGGGAGGTGCTGATGGCAGCAAAACCACCAAAAAACCAAACTCACTGCCATTGAGTCAGCCCCTCCTTGGGTTTCCCTACAGCAGTAGATTGCTTAGTCTTCTTCCTCAGAGTGGCCAGTGGGTTTGAACCATGGGACTTTTGGTTAGCAGTCAAAAGCCTTAGCACTGCACCACCAGAGCTCCTGCTGATAAGGGCAAGCACTTGCTTAATTTAAGATCCACCATACTACAGATTAGGAGCTCTGGTAGCATGGTGCCTAAGGCACTTGACTGCTAACCAGAAGGCTGATGGTTCAAACCCACCAGCCACTATTTGGAAGGAAGGTTGGGCAATCTACTTCTGTAGTAACACCTCCTCAGAAAAAGAGGGGTCACTATGAGTTGGGTCCAACTTGATGGCAAACAACAGAGTTTTTAAGGAGCTCTGTACCGTAGTGCCTAAGGTACTTGACTGCTAACCAGAAGGCTGGCGGTTCAAACCCATCAGTCACTCCTCAGAAGGGCAATCTACTTCCGTAGTGATACTGCCTCAGAAACCCAAGGAGGGGTCACTATGGGTTGGGTCCAACTCAAGGGCCCATAACAACAACAACAATATTACTGCACAGGGGTGCAGAGGCTGACAACTGCTACAACAAGCATTACAGAACCATGCACAGTGTAGGATTATCCAATAAGCAAAGTAAACACAGCTGACTTGTGCTTACTTACTAATCTGTAGTGAACAATTTCATATTTTTCCACCACATCAAAAATTCTGCTTCTAGGTATGGCTGACATCTATCTCTCTCCCAAGCCCACAGCACTTTCCTACAGAATCAAAGCCTCTTTTCCAATTTACAATCTCTAATAGGGACGAAGTCCCTAGTAAGCAAGGTGAGCACAGGCTTACTTGTGCTTGCTTACTAATTTGTAGTGAACTGTTTCACATGTTTTTCACCACATCTTTGAAATCCATGTGAAATTGTTCACTATATATTACTAAGTAAGCACAAGTAAGCCTGTACTTATCTTGTTTATTGGGTAATCTGCCCCCAACTGCATGTTCTTAAGGCAGCAGGTGCCAGAAATCACTAGAATTAGAGAGAAGACACGGAGCCCTAAGCAGCTTAGGGAAATAGCTGTCTCAGGGCAGGGGCGGGGGCACCAGCAGCAGCCCCTGTGAGCATTCTCTTACGGCAAGATAAAGATAGAGGACAGGGGACAAGTCAGTAGTTGCACTGGCACATCAAAGAGTACAGTGAGATAAGGAAGCCCCATCTCTGAGGGGAATGTCTACACCCTTGTAACACCTTCCTACTCAGATGAGTGTGGAATGTATACATACTCTTCCATAGTGCTGCACTTTCCCAAGGATACAGGAACATATGGATTTGCATCCATCGTGCCTATAGTAAAAAACAACAACAACAACAACAAACAGTTGCCATGGAGTTGATTCCAACTTATGGTTACCCCATGTGTGTCAGAGAACTGTGCTCCAAAGGATTTTTAGGGGATGATTTTTTAGAAGTAGGTAGCCAGGTCTTTCTTCTCAGGTACCTCTGAGTAGACTCGAACCTCCAACCTTTTGGAGTGCACCACCCAGGCACTCCTATAAGGAGCTCTGGTGGCATAGTGCCTAAGGCATTTGACTGCTAACCAGAAGGTTGGTGGTTCAAACCCACCAGCCACTCCATGGAAAGAAGACTGGGCAATCTACTTTTGCAAAGATTTATTGCCTTGGAAACCTAAAAAGGGTCATAAGTTGGAATCAACTTGATGGCAGTGGGTTTGGTTTTTTCCTTTTTAGCATTTGTTGTTGTATGCCATTGAGTCGGCCTCGACTCAGGTTTGGATATGAAGGAAAGATATTTTATGTTATTTGGGCAAATTGTGGAGAATTTAAAAATGGTCTTATAATGAAATAAATCTGAGCTCCATTACTGGCTCTGCCACTTATTAGCTGTGTGACCTTGGGCACGTTACTCAGTTTCTCTGAACCTCATTTTCTTCACCTGTAAAATGGAGATGAATATACTTAGTTCCCAGGGTTGCTGTGAAGGTGAAATGAGGTGGTGCTCAGCATAGCACAGTGAGTGCATACAAGCTTCTCTTCAAATAACCCATCTACCAGGTACATGTGGACGATGCTCATTTGATCTTGAGGGTTTTTTTTTTTTTATTTGTTTTGATATGATTTCAGGAATGCTTTAGAAGTACTGTGTATCACAGATGAGAACCAAGGTTGCTTTTGTTGGCCAGTAGGGAAAATGAGGCAGGGAAAGGGATAGTGCATCCACTTAGAGAGGAGGCAGAAAGGAGCAGCTCCTCTACTTTCTCAAACATGCCAACCACAGTGGTACCTAGCCCGGCCTTTATTCCTAGTCACTGTAAGGAATGTGTGATTCATCTCAAAGCACAAATGACAGCTGGTGAATAGGGAGCCATAAAGAGTGATGAGCGTACAGTGCAACCAAAGTTAAATACAACTATTCCTCTCTCAAGTCATTCAAAGCCAAGCAGCTGCAGTTTCATCGACATCATCTATTCATCTTCCTTTGCAATTTGCTATTTAGGAAACATCATTTTTTCCCCAAGGATAATTAATTACCTATTTCTTTCCATTAAAATGAACAAACAAATGGGAGCTTAGAGTAAACCCTGAGAAATGGCATGGTGGCTAATGCAGTGCCTGTCTTGACTTTCCTCTTCTGTTTTCAGCTTTGCCACTCTGAGCTAATTGCAGCTCCCCAAATCACATTTCTGCTGAGAAAAGCTAAATCTGCTTTCTGAAATGTTCACCCACCATGGAGCAAATTTCTCATCCCCACCTGGCTTATCCAGCCTGGCTGGGAGACCGGGCTGGCTCCATGTCCCTGTGTGGTGTGCATGTGCACAGATACACACACACACACACACGCACACGCACATGCAGGCATAGGCACGCAGATGCACTTCTGTGTCCTTGTCGCTTACATCTGAGCACAAGCTACTGAGCCACATACAAGAGCCCTTCTCTACCCTCACATTACATGCATCTTCCACAAAGGCGCATGGTGCTCTCCTCTCTCCTTGTTCTAAGGTCAGCTTCTGGCTATCTCCTCTTGCTCTGGGAACTTGGATGACTCACCTCAGTGATCTGGGGATTGGAGCACTTGACGTTGTGGCTGGACCAGTCGAGCCAGGGGCTGGAGGGGCTGGTACAGTGCTGGTGGAGGGTGCATCTGCGCTCACCGCTGCACCAGCCGCATTCAAACTTCCGGTCGGCCTTCAGGCAGAGGCCACAGCTCTCCCGCTGGGCTGCACACTTGTAAAGGTGGACTGCAAAGAGAAGGGACAGTCACAGATGGCATCAGGGAGGGCTTCTCATGATTCACCCTCTTCTTGTAGGCATGATGGAAACCGTCTCCAATCATGGGTAATATCACTGATCACCATTAACATTACAAGAATAATTGATAGGGAATTAATAACAAATTGAGCCTCTTGGTGGTCGTTTAAAGGCACTACAGAAAAGAATATTATATAGAAGTTCTGGCTCAAGATGGAATCAGATCAGGGCTTTAATTGTGGCTTACTGCTTCCTAGCAAATTATTTAACCTCCTTGAGCCTCGTTTACCTAATCTAGAAAATGGGGCTGGTAATTGTTTGTTGTGAGGTTTGAATGTGACATTCTACATTAACTGGTTAGGCACAATGCCTGTTATACATTCAATGTTCTGTACACAGTGATTATCTTTTCTTTGCACTCACACTACACTCTTATGTTGCTGCTTTACTCTCACATCTGGCCCTTCTTGCAAGAAACAGGGCTAATTTCCCCATTGCAGGTAAAGATGCAGCTCCAAGAGAAATTTAACAACTTTCAGAGTTGACTATGGGATCCTGAGACTCCAACTCTCTATGCTGTGAGATAGGGGATCAGAGAAGATAGAGGAAGCTTGTCTGACATGCTGGAAATGGCAGGGGTCTAGAAGAGGAGTGCCTGGTTCGCACAGACAATTAAGCACTTAGCTACTAAGGGAAAGAATGGAGGTTCCAGTCCATCCATAGGCACCTCAGAAGAAAGGCCTGGCAATCTACTTCTGAAAAACCACAGCTGTTGAAAACCCTATGGAGCACAGTTCTATTCTGACACACCAGGAGTAGGTAGCCATGAATTGGCATGGACTCAATACAAATTGGTTTTTAGTTTTGGGAGAGGAGTCAGCTTGGGCTTAAAGAGAGGTCAGGCAGCTGGCAGTATGGGAAGCAGGGCTGACAAGGAAAGAAGGTTGCCACTGTCGTGTTCATGGTCCCTATAGATAGAGAGGATGCCCCAGAAAGGACAAACTGGCTCCTTACAGATCACATTTGGAGTGTGCAAACCCATGGACTTTGCTTCTGTCTTTTACTGACTGAAAGCCCTCACCAGGCCAATAATGTGACTATGTCTGCTAGCCTGGGGCTTACTTCCTTGCTTATTGGTGTTTTAAACTCTGAGTCCCAAGTAGTGTGACACCAGAAACAAAATACTCAGAAAGTCATTATTCTGGTCAAGCATACATAAGCTTTCAGGACTGGATGTTGGGCCTCTGCTGGAGGCCAGGTACATGCTGCAGGGATAGGTGAATTTTTATCCATCCATAGGATTTTATCCTTTTCTTCTGCTCTGCCAAACATCTCTCAGCTGTAGCTCCAAAGACTATATTTAAATATCCTCAAGCCTATGGCTTCTTAAGGTAGAGGACAAGAATCTGGCAATCTTAAATTAATAAGGACACACCAACCACTTATCAACATGTGCCAAATAATGCATATCCATTACTTTATCCGTTCTTCATGATGTCCCAGTGAGGTGGGCATCCATCTTTCCATTTCACAGATAAGGAAACTAGGATGTAGGGAGATGATCTCTCCAAGTTTACACAGCTGTAAGTGTAAAAGCAAGGATTTGAACCCTGGTCTGTTGGATTCTAGAACCTGAGCATTTAATCTCCATGCCTTATCTATCCAGCATAGTGCATAGCCCTTGGTAGTACAGGCACACCCTGTTTTATTGTGCTTCGCTTTATTGTGCTTTGCAAATATTGCATGTTTCACAAATTTTGTGGCAAGGCTGCGTCCAAGCAAGTCTATTGGTGCCATTTTACCAACAGCATGTGTTCACATTGTGTCTCTGTGTCACATTTTGGTAATTCTCACAATATTTCAAACTTTTTCATAATGTTATTGCACACTTAATAGACTATAGTACAGTATAAACACGCCTTTTATATGCACTGAGAAAACAAAATATGTGTATGACTTGATTTATCACAATATTAGCTTTATTATGGTGGTCTGGAACGGAACCAATACCTCTGAGGTATGCCTGTACTCAGGTTCTGGGTATTATACAAACGTGAAGACAACGCTGCCTAAGCACTCAGAGAGCTTCTTAAAAGCCGTCAAGAGCTATCCATGAGGTTTCTGATGTGACAGATTGGATGTGGCTGTTTTTCTCTAAGCTCCAGGTACAATGGCAACCTCTGGGAACTAAGCCCAGAGCCTCAGTAGGAGAAATGTCTCATCTCTCTTAGCAGAGAAGAAATTTGGCCTGGGTATGAGGAGATATAAAAAGAAAAAAATCTCCCTGGCTCGTTTCTTTTATCCAGCCTCAGTAGCTTCAACTTTAGAGGCAGTATCTGGGACATGGAGCTGCAGCCCCATAGATAGGGGCTTGCAGACTTTCTTGCAAACTTTATCCCTGTGTCTATGCCCATGGAGTTATCCTCAGGCTGAAGGAGAGGCTTGTGACAACCCTACTTTCTTGAAAATGGTAACCTATATGGTTCTCACTTGGATAGGGGTGGGTGGGATGGAGTTAGGGATTAAGTCTGGGGCCTCAGCAGCAGCACGTGATGTGATGGGCTCTGAAATGAGGCTGGCTTGGCTCAAATCCTGGTTCTTCTCTTACTCTCTGACTCTTGGCACATTTCTTAACCTCTTTGAGTCTCGGTCTCCTCATCTATGACATGAGAATAGTAATAAGACATGTCTCTCAGAGTTGTTGTGTTAAGTAAAATACTTTCAGATAGATCACTTACAGAGTGCCTAGACCATCAAATCTGAATTATTGGTTATGCTTGAGAGTATGGGTGGGATCATGGTGTTGGTAGCATTGAGGTTAGTGCCCACCAGGCACAGAGGAGGAGCTCAACCTGGTTTTCTAGGATGATGAGTGAAGGTTGCCCTCATGGAATGCCCTCTTCTCTTTCAGCCCAGCTCCCCTTCCTGAACTTCTTTGCTCCAGATGTGAGCTTGAGTTGGCTGGCTGATCCCTCCCATTCACCTCAGGACCAGGAGAGCAGCCTCATTAACCTTTTTTGTGCAGTGACTGGGGCCAAGAACAGGGGAACAAGAGCCTGACTAGAAACAATATCTCCACTTCCAGGACTTCCCTGCCTGCTGTTCTCCTAGGTCAGTTTCCACGGATATATCAAAGCCTCCAGGAGCCAAAGAATAACGTGGATGAGCCGGCAGCCACCAGGCGGATGCTCTGGTTGTAATAAAACAGGCCTCCCAACAGGACTCCTTTGATGGCTCCAAATGTTGCTTTAGGATCCTCTGAAGAGTTCCGCTGACAGAGGGAGTATATTATTCACAGCACAGAGGCTGCCAGCTCTGATCGCTCCAGCCCCAGTCTTTTCCAGGGTCAAGAAAAGATCAAAACACTACCCAGAAGTAGCCACTTACCTTTTAGGTCCTGAGGGTTGTCGATGATGAAATTGCCATTCCACACCACGGCAAAGTCCACGGCCAGGTTGCTGATGTCCATCCCGTCGTACTGGTACTGTGGGGAGAGAGGCAGAGACACATGGCCCGTGAAGCTCTATCATGGGGGTCAGCGATGCTTCTGACATTTTGGGGACCAGCACGACAGCAGAAAAGAAACTAAGGACTCTGGTTCCCTCCTGGATCAAGAAAGGAGCAAGGAAGAATACCATGTGCTGCTCAAATTACCCCTATGGTGCTTGTCCTCTGATGCCCAGTCACTAATGTCACCAGGATCCAGCCCAAACCCTTGAGCCTGACATGCAGGACCTTCTATAATCTAATGCAAACTCACTTCCCCAACCTTCTCATCTAGTACTCTCTCAATCTACCTGTCTGTCCAAACATATCTGCTAAGGTCCTCTCTGTGTCTTTGTTCAGTCCATGTCTCCTAAGGAATGCCTCCTCCCTAAACCTCTATCCTTTTATCTCATCCTTATTTTTCCCCTTCAGCTCAGATCCACCTTCCCAAGGTATCTTCTCTAACCTTCCAGCACCCCTCCCCAAGCCTCTCTATCCTCTGGCGTCCCCACCTTCTGTCTGTAAGGTGGAACTTCCCATGGGCTGCTTTCATCTTTTCATGCGCAAGCTTAGTCTTTCTAGAAACTTCTTGCTGCTCTGTGGACAGAGCCATAAACAGAACCTTGCAACAAACAGTTGTTTGTTTGCTGGCCCTGTGGTGGGCCTCTCTCTACACATGAGCCTAACTTTGGTCAGCAGTCCACTCAGGAAAAGGCTCACAGCTTTCTGGGCACAGATCTGATCAGTCCTACCCTGAAAGGCCTCATGCTGCAGCCGAGAATCAATTTCCTCTGTCATGTTGGCCCCATAGAGGACTTTTAAGCCCTTCACAGGCTTCAGAAATGGCTCCTCTCAGTGGTCCATCCTCCTGCACCTCTATGAAGGAGACCCCAGGGAAGCCCTTCCATGGGGACTAGCCCAGCCCTGGCCACTTAGTTCTTGAGGGCATGTCACTGTCAGCACTCCTGCCCTTGGCCCTTCCTGCTGCCTTTCCTCTCTTTGTTGTGTTCTTGTCCTTTCTCATCCCGCCTTCCCCTTGCACTTGGCGGCCTTCCACCGATTACAAATTCTATCAAATGCCTGTGACCCGGGAATCTGACAGCTCCCTGATAAGAGGCCCAGATTCTCTTTATCTCTCCCAGGCGAATTAGCTTCCTTCAACACCTTTGTCACGTCACCCCCTCCCCCACCTCCTCACAAGCTGACCCCCCACAGTCAGAGATAGGGACTTGGCAGATAAAAAGATCTTTTCTGGGCTAGTATTATAATTAAACACCTCATGGCTTTCTGTCTGGCATTCAGGATTGGTTTAACCCTTGCTGCTCTTGAAATCCACTACTTCCTCCTTCTATGCCTTCCACTTTCACCTAATCCCATCCTGCTTCCACTTGTCTTTTCTCCCATGAACCTCCTGGGTAGCATCCTCCAGTTTAGTCACATCCTAACTGGTGACAGGATATGGGCATGACTCTCTGGCTGAAGTTTCACCAAAGGCAAAGAGGTGCTCTTGAAACTTCAAGGAAGGACATAAAGCTCTTAATTTCTGTCACAAGGAGCCTCAAGGCATTTGTTCCCCTCTGACAACAATGACCCTCTCTGCTCTGGCGGAGGGATCTGTGGTGCCTGCACATTCTTCTGTCCCTGGGATGTGGGGGTCAGTCTGTGGACCCAGAAAATTCTACAAGCTTGGGTAGGCCAGGCTGAGGCATAGGCATTCCCATGGGTGTGAGAGAAAGCCCTGCTCCTAGCAGGGTCCAAGCCTGTGTCCTCTTACCGAACTGTTCTGGCACTGGACGCTGGAGCTGTTGAAACGCAGGGCAGGGACTCGATGGATGGCTCCTTGTATGCTGAGGACGCACTCATAGCCTCGCTGGCCGGACTGAGGCTGGGGCAGGTTTCGGGCCTTAAGTGTGATTGGCTTTACCTCCCCAACTGGTATCAGGATCTCCTCTGTGGCCACTAGCTGGGGACAGTCCTGGGGGAGCAAACAGAGATGCTCCATCTGTTCTCGGCTTGTACCTTCCTACTCACCTGAGCCAGCGTGAGGGCCAGACCTGGATGCCAGGCCAGACCCTCTTGTGTCCAGATGGGCTGCCCATGAGAACATTACCTCATTTAAGGACTGCGTGGAGTCAGCCAGGAAAATGAAATCTATCTCTTAGCTCCTAGGGCTTGGATATTGTCATCACCATCCCACAAGTCATTCTCTATCTGGTGTGCATGCTGCAATTTAGGAATTAATTTTAAAACACCAATGTGGCACACTGTGGATTTTTATCTCCTGAGACACAGGATAAAAGAGCTTCCATGCATCGCTGTCCCCCACCCTGGAGCCCCCACCTCTCGGTTTCATCTCATTACCCAGCTCCAGTTACTCTGGCCCTTGCATTGTCCAATGCCAGAGGTGTCCTGTTATCGGCAGCGTCAGCTTCCTAGCTCCGACTGCGCAGGGCTTTCCAGGAGGTGGATCAAGCCCTCCCAGCAATGCTCTAAACACTTGCTCTGGCTTTTTATCTCATTTCATTACCAGGCCCTGCATGAATGACATGTTGCTTTGGAAAACAAAACCCCCGAAAAAGAAAGTCTTGGTAGGGAGGGGCTATCAGAAGGACCAAGAGAGAGAGTAAGTGAGAAAGGGAGATTGATTTTACTCAGCTCTATTCCTAGAAGCTGCTTCTCTACTGGAAGCCAAATTACCACCTCCCACAGCTCCAGTCTCTGCCATTGGCTGTTGCCCTTTTTCTCCCTCTCCCATGGGGAAGATTGAACCTGGTTGCCTCTGACAGCAAGGACATGGAAACCACCTCCACATGGAATAATTTCCTATCGCTAGGGAAATTCTTAGAGGAGGTTTCCCTTTCTCCTCTCCTCTCTGAGCCAGGGCAGTGGTTCTCAGAGGAAGTCTTGAGGAATTTATAGGGTAGATGTTGTCCCAATGCATGCCCTATCCCACTGCCATCAAGTTGATTCTGACTAATAGCAACCCCCATTGGGTTTCCAAGGCAGGAAATCTTTATGGAAGTAGATTGCCCATCTTCCTTCCATGAAGTTGCTAGTGGGTTTGATCTGCCAACCTTCTGGTTAGCAGTCAAATGCCCTAGGCACAGTACCAACAGAGCTCCTTCCCAAAGCACAGAAGGTGCTAATGGCATTTAGGGCCTGGGTGCCAGGACTGATAACTTTCTGCAAAGAATGGGACAGTTGTGACTCCTGTTAAGAAAGCTTGTATAACATAGGCAGCATTGAGCAAGGGAGCAATCTGTAGGCTTCTTAGTCACAGGATGGCCTTAAGCACTCACTTCTCTTCTCTTGGTCTCAGTTGCAAGCCCTCCTTCATGACATAACCCCTGCCGGCCCCTTACCCTTACTATTCTTGCCTTCACTGTCCAGCCATACTGAATTTATGCTTAGTTCTGGGGTACTATCTCCCTTGCTTGAGTCACTAGGTGTTTCAAACGGTTAATGTGCTCAGCTGTTAATTGAAAGGTTAGCAACTGGAGTTCACCCAGAGGCTCCTTGGAAGAAAGACCTGGAGCTTGACTTCTGAAAACTCAGCCCTTGGAAACCCTATGCAGCACAGTACTCTGTGGCCCACATGGTGTCCCCATGAGTCTGAGTTGACTCTCTGGCAAGTGGGCACTGGGATCTCCCTTACTTACCCACTTCTGGTCCTTTGCACATGCTGTTTTCCTCTGCCAGAAACACTCTTCCCTACCTCAGACCTTCTCTATTTCTCCTGGCCCCTCCCCTATCTTGAACCTTTTTTAGATGATTACCTCTGAATTGGCCTTCAAAACTCAGTTCAGTGTCCCTTTCTTGACCCTTTTTTTCCCTGTCCTCGCCTCCAGGTGTGTTACGCATCTTCTCCCAGGATCACATTTAGCCCATAGAACTGCAGTTTCTTGTCGACTTGCTTTTTTCCTCACTGGCCTGTGAGCTCCTTGAGGATTAACTTGTATTTTATTCTTCCCCATACCCTCAGTCTTCAGCCTAGTGCCATACATATAGTAGGCTTGGTTCGTGGAAAGGAAAATGGAAAGTAAGAAAAAGCAACAGACTAAAGATCTCTATGTTTCCTTCTAACTCCATCATTCTCAACTTTTTAAAAGATGAATGTTCAACCCAGCCTTCTGGACATCACCAGATTAAGAAGACATTTGATTCCCCAAAGCTGGGGTTGGAAAAAGTCATTGTATCTGGAGTTGCATGATTACTAAACTGGCATGTCTTATCCATTACGGATCCTAAAGATTTATGAGAAATTGATTCCAGAGGAAGTTTCCTACAGAACCCTATCTAGGAGGGCCTAGGTGGAACTGTGGGGCCACTGAGGCCATCCCTGTGACTGTTGGCCAGCTGCATGTGCAGACACTGAGACAGGCAAGTTTTCCACTAGAAACAGTGCCATGAGGAACCCCAGAACAGATGGGCTCCTGTTTAGGAGCCAGTCACTCAAGCTACGGACTCATAAACTTGCTCTTACTGCACTTTTGCTTTCCTTCCCTGTGGGCATTCCTGACAGAGGTTTTCGTATATTTATAGTCAAGCAAAAAAAAAACAAAACAAAACAAATAAAAAATGAACACCACTTTTAGGAAATCCAGCCATTCTCTGAAAAAGGAGATACCACTTCCTATAAGTGACTTGAAAAATCCTCATTGAGTCTAATAGATTAGAGTTTTAATTGAGACTAGAAATAAGGCTGAAGCGTAATGGGATATGTATGTGTGTGTGTGCGTGTGTGTGAGAAAGAGAGCAGATTTTCAGACTCTGAGTCAGTTAATAGATTGTAAATGATGACCAGTTGTTTTTCAGCTTTAATGAGTTCAGGGAACAAATTCAAATTTCAGTAGCAGAGTCTTAAAGAGATGGTTTTGGGAGGTAATGTGTGGAATCCTTTTAACTTTGACCATCCCTATGGATATCTAGAGATCACCATCCTCATTTTTTTTTTTTTTTTTTTGGTCCAGTTCAGCCCAGAATTCTTGGAGGATCATGAGGAGATTTTATGGGTACCCTTATGAGTTTTTTTTTTTAAGAGATTCTAGAACTTCAGAAAAAAATTTTCCACAGACTATTGTTTCAGACATTTTGGAACTAAGTTTAAAGATAATAAGTAAAGTCTTCCCAAATGCCTAAATAGATTCCCAGCTTGCCCCAGTAGAAAAGGATGTCTTATGCCTTTTTTGTTTATTTGGCTGTTTCTCTCAGGCCAGGCAGAGTAGGATTTTCCTTTCTAATCTCTAGGGCAAAAGAAAGAAACAGTTGATGCCCTGGAAACACCCTCTACTCATGAAACAGGGGGAAATATAGGCCGTTTGATTTAGAGAAGATTCTGGTGAATGTACAATAGGGGGCAGAGTCTTGGGTGAAAATGGCAGTGGGAGCTGACTAAAGAGAGGTTCAGGAGAGCTGACAGGCCAAAATACTGCCTAGTTGTTGGAATTTGAGTACCTCTGAGGCTTGCAGAAAGTGATTGGTTGCATCAGGATACAATGAGGCCACTTTCAACCTGTCTGCTTCCTTCAATATGCATGTGCACACGTGCACACACACACCACACACATACACACGGGCACACACATGCACACACAGGGATACACAGGCACAAGAACACACAATTTCAGTTTCTGTACTAGGAACAAGAAAGCAAAACATTGTAATACGTTCTTCCTTGCAGAATGTTGAGACTGCTTTCTTAAAATACTCATTGCTACTCCTGAGCCTCATAGTCTTCTGAGGAGGAACAATTTCTTTAGGTCATCTTCGTCTTCCCTCTGCCTAAGGCCCACTGGCAGCCAGGATCACCTGGTTAGCAGCAATCTTAGTTAAATCAAGATGAGTAGCTGTCCTATTTGGGAATGTCCCAGGGGTGAGGTAGCTGGGGCGAAGCAGACATGGCTACAGGGGGGCAGGGACCCTGGCGGAGGAGCCCGAGAAGCTCTGGGGTGCAGTGCCCACTCTGTTCAGCTGTGTTTGGCCGGGATTCTGCGCTGGGGACCCTTCGCCCTCTGAAACGACTTCTCCCATGTGGAAATGGTATTATCTTCACCCACTGGACTTCAAAGAGAGAGAGCAGCCAACATCCTGGGAAGCTAATCGGATTTATTTGGTTCTATCTTTCCCCTGGGACAGGGCGTAAAGAAGATATTTATGTATCTACATCTCACTAGCTGGCTTAGTTATGGAGGGAGATGAGCTTTTAAAGCTGAAAGCCATACACACTTCGCACATACCTGCTCACTAACACCATGTCACAGCCTGATCCGGCCCAGGGACACAGGGATTCCTGCCCCCTCGCCACTCCCCACCCTGCCAAACAAAAGATCTGCTATGCTCTGGGCAGTAGAAATGTCTGACTCACTATCTTAAAAGAGTTCAGGAGATGGTCGATTAAAATTCAGGTTCCCCATCTATAAAATGATGTCAGTAATACCTAACAGCCTCAGATTGAATGAAAGAGGAATATGAAAGTATGTTGTAAGTGGCAATAAGCTGGATTAACTATTGTTGCTAATATTATTACTGCATGTTTCGCACGTATGTATGTGTACGTGAATGCAGAATCTCAGGACTCTACTTCAATCAAGCCCAACTTGGCAAACTGACTCTGAATCCTGACTTCTGCATTTATTTATCATAGGAAAATTGCTTAACTTTTCTATGCCTCAATTTATTGATCTGCAATAGAGTGCACTTCATAGGGTAGTTGCTAAGATTAAATAATATATTTAAAATACTGCATGTGTACTACTACTATTACTACTAATAAATCCATTGCCATCCACTTGATTCCAACCCACAGTGATGCCATGTGTTACAGAGTTGAACTGTTCCATAGGGTTTTCTGGGCTGTAATTCTTACAGAAGCAGATTGTCAGACCTTTCTTCTATAGCTCCACTAGGTGGGTTTGAACCATCAACCTTAGATTATTCATTAAGCACAAGCCATTTGTGCTACTCAGGGACCTTTGC